ATAAAATAATGGTCATTTCCGTTCATGAGTAACGATAGCCCCTGTCCGGATCTGGATTATTCTGCTTCCTAACATCTGGGGATTACCGGCACGCGAAAATATCTCTTGTTATTGTACTACTGTCCGTTTCGTTATTGCCAATAAAATTTTATAGGGTACAATGGAATTTCCAAAACTATACATCGAATTAAAAATAAGTAGTGTAGTTTTCAGTATTTTTTTTATACTATATTATTGTACAGTGCCTTTTTTTAACTCTTGCTTACATGTTCGAATGTTAACCGGAGCCCTCTGGTGGTTAGTTTCTTCATCAAAAATCGCCCGAAACTGGTGGTCGACAATCACGCGCACAGCACAAAGATGACAATTCCGCAATCTATTTTTGGAATAAGTTTTCTGGAGTTGCGAATTCTTTTATAAATGTATGTATGGAAGTAAAAGAAGTAAAATTAAAATCCGAAAGCGCAACAGGTTATGGGGCCAGAGAACGCCAAATAAAAAAGGCAGTAAAATTAGAAGCAAAAATATTTGTTCTGCTTTTTCTCCCAAAATTTTATGACGTTATATACAATTTTGCTGAGTAAATTGAATTCAGAATGTGTAAAATAATACGTTTTCTATCGATTTTTATCTTCTTTTTAATCAAATGTACTATGATGAATTTTTAATTGGTTCTCAGATCGATGGGCGGAGCTTAATTTCAAAATCCATATTTGTCTACAAAAATTTACCATTTTAAACAGGTTTTAAGTTTCTTCTTGTGAAAAGAAGACTACATATATTAAGAAAAAAAGGCAAAATGGAAGCCCCGCCCACCCACCCTATCTCAATTGTGATGATTTTTTTATTCGTCGTGAGCCAAAGGGGTGGCCCTTAATGGCAAAATCCTTTCCTCTCCACAAGAAAAAACTCGATAACACCCGTCAAGGAGTTATTAAATAATCTAAATAGTTCAAAAAGTGAGGTTTTCCAGGAATTTTAATTCTTTTTATATAAGATTAAACATAATTAGTGTATTTTTTAGTATTTTTATGCTATATGTTGTACAGTGCATTTTTTTAACATTGGCTTAAAAACTAAAAGCTTTTTCGAAAATGTTCAAAATTTGATTTTGATCATAAAAAAAATTTAATTCGCAAATTAAATTTTATAAATTTTCGTCTGTATTTCAGGGGCGAAGGCAGTTCTATCTAAATAATTTTAATAACAAATTGGTCTAGTGTGTAGTTTAAAATATTGTCTCAAAGTGTTCTCGTTTCAAATTCAAAATTTTCTGTAACAAATCAGGAAATTTTGCTCCTTGTCGACTTTCTATTACCTAAGCGTTTATGGGATTATGGCAACCCGCAGCAAGGAGGCGGAGAAGGCTAATCTCTCGCTGCTGGGTTCAGACAATATTTTTCCGTACGATTGTACATATTTATCTTTGACTGATGATTATATTATGGAGCCAATTTCAAGTACTTACTGAGCTCCTAGTAAATTAGTTTGAGACTAATACCAAAATTTGTTTATTCTATCCATCCAAAAAATATGACGTCATTCGAAAATGTCATCATTTCAATGTTGTTTTTTCTTTCCTTTGAAAAGTTATTCAATATTATTTTCAAGATAACACAGGAACACATAAGAATTTGAAATTTTGGTTGAAAATTAAAGAAATCGGAAAATCGAATAATTGAGAAATGCAAAAATTGCAAAAATGAAAAATTTTAAAAATGGAAAATCTAGGAACTGAAAAATCAAAGATTCAAAATTTGAAGAATTGAATAAACTGAAAACTATAAAATCGAATGGAACATTGAAAAAATAAAGGAAATGAAAAAACGAACATTTGTGGCATAAAATCGAGAAAATGAAAATAACAAACTCGGGAAAATGGAAAATAAAAACTTGAAAAATTGAGGAAACAAAAAATTGAAAATTTAGAAATTGAGAAACCGAAAAATCGAAGAAACGAAAAACTGAAAAATTTGGAAGCCGAGAAATTGAAAAACTGAAAAAACTAAAGATGCAGAAACGAAAAATTATGAAATCAGAAATTGAAAAATTAAAGAAAATGAAAAAATGAAAACTTGTGATGTCAACAATTTGGTCGACGGTAAATAAATCCAGATTTTTTGCTCTTTGTCGACTTTATAATACCAAAGCGTTTATGGGATTATGCAAACCCGCTGCGAGGAGACAGAGAAGACTAATACCTTTCGCTGGCAACAATACTTTTGCTTGCGATTGTACATAATTATCGTTGACTGCTGATTATTGACCACCTAATTAGTTGTAGTTTGAGATTATTGCCAAAATTTGTTTATTCTATCCATCCAAAAAATATGACGTCATTCGAAAATGTCAACATCTCAATGGTGTTTTTTCCTTTTTTCCAAAAGTTATTCTTCGTAAATAGTAGGTACAGGAACACAAAAGAGTTTGAAATTTGAAAATCGAAATTATTGAAAATCGAATAATTGAGAAATCCAAAAATTGCAAAATGAAAAAGATTAAAAATTGGAAAAACGAGGAATTAAAAAATTAAAAATCGAAAATTCGAAGAATTGAATAAATTAAAAATTATAAAATCGAAAAAAACATTGAAAAATAAAGGAAATGAATAAAGGAAAATTTGTAATAAAAATCGAGAAATTGAAAATTAAAAAATCGGTAAAATGAAAAATAAAAATTAAGAACTTAAAAAATTGAGGAAACGAAAAATTGAAAAATTAAAAATTGAGAAACTGAAAAACCGAAAAATGAAATTTTGTAATATCGAAAAAATGTAAAACTGAAAAACTGTAAATCGAAAAATTGAAGAAACGAAAAACTAAAAAATTTGGAAACCGAGAAATTGAACTGAAAAAATTAAAGTTGCAGAAACGAAAAATTATGAAACCAAAACATTGAAAAATGGAAAAATTGAAAAATTAAAAAAAAATAAAAAATGAAAAATTGTGATGTCAACAAACTGGTCGAATGTAAATAAATCCAGACTTTTTGCTCTTTGTCGACTTTATCCTACCTAAGAGTTTATCGGATTATTGTAACCCCCAGCGAGGAGGTAGAGAGGACTAATACCTCTCGCTGGCAACAATACTTTTGCTTGCGATTGTACACATTTATCGTTGACTGGTGATTATATTATGGAGCCAATCTGTGCAAAAACTTTACTGACCACCTAATTAGTTAGTATATTTTAAGATTATTGCCAAAATTTGTCTACTCTATCCATCCAAGAAAATATGACGTCATTCGAAAATGTCTACATTTCAATGTTATTTTTTCTTTCCTTCCAATAGGTATTCCTCAAAAATAGTAGAGGAACACATAAGAGTTTGAAATTTTGGTACGTTGAAAATTAAAGAAATCGGAAAATCGAATAATTGAGAAATCCAAAAATTGCAAAATTGAAAAGATTAAAAATTGGAAAAACGAGGAACTGAAAAATGAAAGACTGAAAAAATCGAATAAATTAAAAGTATCAAATCGAAAGAAACATTGAAAAAATAAAGGAAATGAAAAAACGAAAACTTGTGACACAAAATCGAGAAAATGAAAATTGAAAAATCTTTAAAATGAAAAAAAGTCAAGAACTTGAAAAATTGAGGAAAAAGGTTTCTTTCCTTCCAAAAGTTATTATTCAAAAATAGTAGGTACAGGAACACAGAAAAGTTTGAAATTTTAGACAAGTAAAGCAAAGTTTATGTAATCATTCCCTCCGGGGAGGAATTACGCATTGATTTATTATAATGTTCAGTTCAGAAACGACTCATCTCATTTTTCTGAATTATGGAAACGTGGAAGCATTAAAAAATTTGAAAATACCTATCCAGAAAAATATTTTGACTCGATTTCGCTTCAGTTGCGTTTTTAGGATGTTTATAAAGGTTATGTCAAAACAATGGCTTATTTTTTTTAATATTGGAAACGCCGGTAGCAAAATTATAATTTATAATGTTTATGAATATCAAAAGGTTTATGATCTCAAAAACTTATTCATTTAGACACATGTGGTACATGTTTTTCTTCAGAAGCAAAAGAATTTTTGTGTAAATAATTATATAAATTTTATTACCCATTCTCAACTTCCTGGCTATCAATACTTGAATTATTTTAGAAAATCATTATACGTTGAATTGAAATGTTGTGGTTATTTTTTTAATATTTCATTAAGTAAACACGATGAACTGAATAAACCTGGGAGTAGTGGGGTGGGAGTTGGGGTCAACCACTCACCCATGAGACTCAACCAGTTTACAATAAATGTATAGTGCGACGCAAGATATAGGAAGTTCCGTAAATACATAACCTAAAAAACGAAAGAAACAAGTTTGTCATCTGCGCAAATGCCAGTACCAAGAATAGCCAAAAAAAGTACCATTTATTGCCTGTACAAAAAATGTGAGACATCCAGTATGTGATGATCAATTGTATACAAGGGTGCTAGTACTACATACTTAGTTACAAAAAAAAATAGGCCGGGCCAATTTTTTTTCAACCAATTAACCGATCATGTTGTGCTTAAGGTTCGTGTTACTGTTGATAAAAAATTAACCAAAGTTCCTATAATGGTTCCAATCGATATCCCTTTTGTACACACATTCGTAGAATTATAAATTACCTATAAATCACATCTGGGAGAATCGATTATGTATTTGTATCGACATCGCGGCAAAGTCTCGAAACGCATCCCCAACGTAATTAAATCGGTACTTGCTCCAAACTCCCAGATTTAATTATCGCGAGCTTGATTGCCTCACTCAGTGCCTCTCAAAGTTTACCTCCTCCACCCAAACAACCCACATATCCCCAATCCCCAAAAATCCCAAAACAATAATTCCCTCAATTAAACAAAATTAAAATATCGATTCCCGTAATTCCCCCGCAATCAATAAACAAGCATTCGATGTAATTGTCCGGCAGGAGAAATACTTGTCGAATCAATGCCGTCTCCAAACAACAAAACGCGCATACAACCCCCGCCGCCCCCCTCATAAAAAACTGCATACCTTTCCCTGTTTAGAACAGTCCCATCACTCGGGGAAAAAACTGAAAACGCGAGTCCGCGCTGAAAAAATCACCCGCCGCTCACAGCACATCCATCAGTGGACCTATGATATCGACGGCTGGCCGGGTCACATGACCTGTTCATGGCGAGCGTCGCGACGCAACTGAGGACCGGCACAGGTACGCGAAACGACGGCGTCGACGCGGGGATGCATCGCGACGCTGCTTCACACCGCTCGTGCACCAAACGCACTGATGGATGGACGCCGAAAATTTTTCGTGGGTGAGTGCGTGCGTATGGGCCCCTGGTGCATTAATAATGGTAGCGACAAACAGGCCATTACTTATTACCATCAAGGCAACCGCGATCGATGGCGTGAATTATTGATAAAGGCAGGGTATAATTCGGTGAAAATTCGAGAGGGTTTTTTCGAGTGGGGGCGAAGGAACGAGGAAAGGATGTGTGGAAGGGGAGGTCTAAGGTGCGAAGAAGCAAAGAAGCGTAGGCACGATCTCCACAACCAGAGAGTAGTACTCTTAGTGGTACCACTGGCGTACTTGATGGTTGTGAACTTTTTCGTAGGTACTACTTAGTGCTGGCATACAGAGAAGATTTTTTGCAAAGTTTTTTTTCCAAAAATTGTATTGAACGTACTTAAATACTAATTACTACTTTGGTACTACTCGAACAACAACACAGCCATTGTCATAGACGTGCATCGTCACCTAACATGAATCAAACGTATTTAAATTTGAACAAAATTGAAATTGGTCGAAGGTTATTTCGAAAGAACTTTCCTCATCCTTGAAGCGCCGCCCAACGAATCCCGTTTCGACAGCTTTTTTCACTGAAATTTTTCATTTCAATTCAATTTTAATTTTTTTTTCTACAGTCTTTTAAATTGAAATTTTTCGAGTTTTCAAGGTTTAATTTTTAACATTTAACTTTTGAGTTTTGTAATTTTTTGATTTGTAAATTTTCGTGTGGGTTTTTTAATTTGTTTATTTTTTAGATCCTTATTTTTGATTTGTAGTTTTTCGTTTCGGTTCTTTATTTTCTTCATTCTTACAATTATTCGAATTTTCAATGTTGCGATTTTATAATCTTTTGTTTTTTCAAATTTAATTTTTTAATATTTTCGTTTCTTCAGTTTTTCGAATTACGATTTAGCAATTTTCCATTTTTCTTGTTTCTTTAATTTCTAGACTGTTTAATTTTTCATTTCATAAAATTCTCGATTTGAAATTTTTCCTTTCGATTTTTTATTTTCTTCATTTTTAAATTTTTTTGAATTTTCAATGTTCAATTTTTTTGTTTTTTCGCTTTCAATTTTTTTCAATTTATCGATTTGCAAAATTTCATTTTTTGGTTCTTCAGTTTTACAATATGCATCTGTTCGATTTTCATTTTTAAATTTTTCAGTTTTCAAAACTTTTAATGTTTCAATTTTTACATTTTGGAATTTTCCGATTTGTAATTTCACAAATTTCCAAGTCTTAATTTCTGAATTTTTATATTTTCAACTTTTCATTTCTTTAATTTTCCGATTTGCAATTATTCGTTTAGATTTTTATTGTCTATATTTTTACAAAGTTTCGATTTTTCGGTAGTTTATAATTTTTTCTTTTTTGAATTTAAATTTTTTTCAATTTTTCGATTTGCAATTTCACGAGTTTTAAATTTTTAATTTTTCAGTTTATATACTCGATTGTTCAATGTTCTGAGTCTCTAATCTGTTTTTATGTAAAATTTTTGAATTTTTGGATTTTTCAATTTTTCGGCTTTTAAGTTTTCGATTTTTCAAGTGTTAAATTTTTAATTTTTTGTTTTTTCAATTTTTCTAGTTTTCGTGTTAAATATGTATCTAATACTTTATAACTACAATTTAAAAAAAAAAACACTTTTTCAATTTTTCCATTTTAGAATTTTTCTGTTTTTCAAATTTGATTTAAAAACTTTTTCGTTTATTCCATTATTCATTTTTGATTTTCCAATTTTTCGATTTTTCAATGTTACAGGTTTTTGATTTTACAATTTTGACGTTTCTATTTCCATTTTTGTTTCTAGAATTTTTGCGTTTTTCAATTTTTTGATGCGATTCTTTTTCCTTTTTTCCAATTTTTCAATTGATTGATTTTTTTGGATTTCTAGTTTTTAAATGTTCAAATTTTTCGTCTCTTGAGTTCTTCGATTTGCAATTTTTCAATTTTCCACTTTTCGATTTGCAATTTTTCGTTTTTTCAGTTTTTTGATTTTTCAATAATGCATTTCAATTTTTAGATTTTTCAATGTTCTGAGCGTCTATTTTTTTTTAATGTGAAATTTTTGATTTTTTGGATTTTTCAGTTTTTCGGCTTTTAATTTTTCGATTTTTTCACTCTTAAATTTTTAATTTTTCACTTTTTCAAGTTTAGATTTTTCAGTTTTTCGTCTCTTCAATTTTTGATTTGCAACTTTTCGTTTCGGTTTTTTCTCTTTATTAGTTCAATTTTTTGGTTTTCCAATGTTCTGTTCTCTATTTTTTTTTAATGTGAATTTTTTTAATTTTTGGATATTTTAATTTTCCTGCTTTGAATTTTTCGTTTTCCAACTTTTCGACTTTTCAATTTTTCATTTCTTCAATTTTTGTTTTGCAGTTTGTCTAGTTTTATTTCAGAATTTTTCACTTTTTGAATTTTTCTGTTTTTCAAAAATTGGACTGAACAAATAAATCATTTATTCGATTTTTCGATTTCTATTTTTCTACATTTTCGATTCGTTTAGTTTTTCCTTCTTTCTAATTTTTCAATTCGATTCGTTTTTCCTTATTTTAAATTTTTCAATCCAGTAATTTTTTCGATTTTTCGTTTCTTCAGTTCTTCGATTTGCAATTTTTGGATTTTACACTTTTCGAATTCTCAATTTTTGATTTTTCAACTTTCGAATCAATAAAATTAAAAAATTGCAAAATTGTACAATTAAAAAATTAAAAATGAAAAATAAAAATTTTGAAAAATTTAAAAAGTGGAAAAAAATAACTTGAAAAATTGAAGAAACGAAAAATTGCAAAATCGTAAGATTAAAAATTAACAAACTAAAAAATCGAATAACTGCAAAATCGAAAAAACGAAATATTGTACATTGTTTAACTTTTTCAATTTTTAGATTTTTTAATTTTTTGTTTGTTTCAATTTTAGATTTTTCAGTTTTTCGATTTTTCATTTTTTCATTTCTTGATTTTTTGATTTGCAATTTTCATAGTTTTGATTTTAAATTTGTATCTAATAATAATTATAATTAAAAAAAAATCACTTTTTCAATTTTTTAATTTTTAATTTTATAATTTTTCGATTTCTCAATGTTACAGTTTTTCGACTTCAAAATTTTGAGGATTCCATTACCATTTTTCAGTTTCGAATCGAAAAATTGAAAAATTGCAAAATTGTAAAACTGAAAAATCAAAAATAAAAAACGAAAATGTCTAAAATGAAAATTTTGAAAAATCTAAACATTGCAGAAACGAAATTTTGAAAAATAAAAAATTGAAAAATGGAGAAATAGTGTAAAATCAAAAAATTGCAAAATTGAGAAATTGTAAATCGGAATATTGAAGAACCGGAAAACTGAAAAATTTGGAAGTCGAGAAATTGAAAAATTGAAAAAAAGAAGCTAGCAAAAATGAAAAAATGTGAAACCGAACCATTCAAAAATAGAAAAATTGAAAAATCGGTTAATTGAGAAATAAATCCAAAAATTTGAAAGATTTAATTAAAAATTGGGAAATCGAGAAATTGAAAAATGAAGAACTGAAAATTTGAAGAACCGAATAAACGAAAACTTCGAAAAAAACATTGAAAAAATACAGGAAATGAAAAATCGAAAAATAAATATTGTAAAATCAAAAAATTGCAAAACTGAAAAATTGTAAATCTAAAAATTGAAGAACCGACAAACTGAAAAATATGGAAGTCGAGAAATTGAAAAATTGAATAAACAAAACCTGCAAAAGTAAAAAATATGAAACCGAAACATTAAAAATGGAACAATTGAAAAATCGGTTAAATCTTTCAAATTAGCAATTTTTGGATTTCTAAAAATTGCAAATTTGAAAGATTTAAAAATCGGGAAATCGAGAAATTGAAAAATCAAGAACTGAAACAACAACCGAGAAAATGAAAATTAAAAAATCGGTAAAATGAAAAATAAAAATCAAGAACTTGAAAAATTGTAGAAAAAAATTTGAAAAGTCGAAAATTAAAAACTCAGAAATTGAAAAATCGAAAAATGGAATATTGTAGAATCTAAAAATTGCACAATCGAAAAATTGAAAAGACGAAAAACTGAAAATTTTGGAAGTCGAGAAATTTAAAAATGAAAGTTGCAAAAACGAAAAGATGAAACTGAAACATTGAAAAATGGCAAATTGAAAAATTAAAGAAAATGAAAAAAAAAGTGATATAAAAAAATTGTAAATACAATAAACTGCCTCATTCACTAATTTTTTTGGGTCAGCCTGTATAAATAATTCTAAAAACTATGAGTGCATTGACAAACCACAAGAAAAGTCATAACATTTTGAATATTTCAGAGAGGATTTATTCGGCAAAATTTTGAGTTGACGTCATCAATTTTTTGAAATGGGATAAACGAATAAATTTTGATTAACCATTTAGCATGCAGTTTCGAAGTTAAATTGCATAATGTTGTTATAAAATTTTGTTTTTTTTTCCAAAAATCTGGATGTCTAGGGTGAAAACTTAACCCGGATTTCATACACCAGAAATGCAGGAGTATCTTATTTTATAAAAATTAAAACAAATTTACTATTGTAAATCCTGGACACAAGTGGGTAACAACGAAATTTCAGAATTCGTGGAAAAAAAAACATAATTTAAATTTTGAACTTTTATTGCGATCTTGATATAAAAATTTATTTGTGCTTTGTAGAACTCTACCCGGGAGAGTTTCAAAACAAGAAAAAATATTTATTGCAGCTGCTTTTTATTTTAAATAATTTTCTAATAAAACTATATTTATACTCGTATATGACTGGGGTATGGACTTTGTGGGCGTGAATAGTTTTGTTATAGATTTATTGCTCACATATGTCTACATACGCAAATTTAATACGTTCTTATTTTTTTATTTTTTGCTTCTGACTTGTTTTACAAATATAGTGTGTCTTATTTAGAAAAATAAGCACCACATATTAGCTACTCATAATTATATAAA